GGCAGAATCCTCGCATCGGGCCGAGTGGGGTTTCCAGCCTCCCCCCCAGCTCCTCCTTCAGCTTAGAAAACTCACCCCGGGGCGAAGCTGGGGTGGGCGGGAAGGAAATGCTTTGCAGTTTACACCTAGGGGGGGATGAGTGCGCTCCCGCCTCCCTCCAGAAGAGTCCCGTGCTCACCTTTGCTAGCTCCTCTCTGCCTTGTCTGGAAAATCTCCCCGTCAAGGAGCTCCCCTATCCCTGGCTGGCTCCCTCAGGTGCTTCACCTGTTTCCTGTCAAATCCAGCCAGTATAAAAAGTCAGAGTTCCCGAATTCTTTCCGTACACATCAGGGAAGGCTCTCCAAAGGAATGGGGTGATTTCCACCAACACCACCCTGACCCTGGTTGGCTCTCTCTCTGTTGTCTGAGCTGTTTCAAGATGAGGGAGGGGTGTGGCTTGGTCCGTCGTGGGGCCTCTGCTTGGCTGAGCCCCCCCCCAATGGGCCCGGGATGATTTCTGTCCGTTTCCGTCTTTGCTGTTCAGGAAGCTCCTTTTTGTGGCTCATCCTTTGTCCTCCCTCGGATATGTCCGTCACCGTCTGGAGTAGATGCTGAATGTTTCCACGCCACGTCTCATCCAGCCACCCCCCCCATTATTCCGTTTCTTGTTTCCTTCCTTCCGTTTCTCTCTGCAGTTGCTCTCTCTTCCCTCCTAGGACGGTTTCGCTCCTTGTCCGGCCCAACAAGCGGGCTGGATTAATCGTTCCGATAAGTACCGGCAGAGTTGGGTCCCGGCCTGCTTACCATCCCTGGTTGGAATTCCCTGTGTTGGCTTTGCCCCTTCCGGTTTCCCCAAAAAGCAAACCCTTCTGGGCAGCCAAGGGAAAAAAGTAGCTTTTCTCATGCTGGGAATTGGGGGAGATGCGAAGAGTTGAACAGAAGGAACCCATTTATTTATTATTATTTATTAATAAAATTTATAGGCCGCCCAATCCCAGAGGACTCCGGCCAGCTTACAAAAAGAAGAGGTTTTAAGAGGTTTATTGGGATTTATATGCCAGGTGAAGAAGAGGAAAGAAATAATACAAATTAAAAAAAGACAGATTTAAAATCACAACACACGCATTCGTTCTGATGGGGGCTGGCCCTCAACGATGAGGTCAACCGCCCCAGGCCTGCCGGAACAGCCAGGTTTTAAGGGCTTTCCTGAAGGCCATGAGAGTGGGTAAGGTCCGGATCTCTGGGGGTAGCTCGTTCCAAAGGGTCGGAGCAGCCACAGAGAAGGCCCTCCTCTGGGGAGCTGCCAGCTGACATTGTCTGGCTGAGGGCA